GACACATCTGGCTTCATACAGGGGTGGGCGGCTCCACAGACGATAAGACGGCTCCACAGGCGATAACGGATTTACTAAGAACCTACGGTATTCCGTCATGATTCGCCGACCGTGCGTTCTGACCACATGCAGGTGCAGCGTTTGAAGCAGTTGTGGCACCGATAAGGTAGCAACGAGTCACGACACCACCAAGCGGGGAGGGGAGCCGCGTCCGGGGGGTCGACTAAGATGAGATGAAGTGGGGTATTTCTGTACATATGTACGGAGTACTCGATTACATTTGTGCCGGTTGTGCGTCAGCTTTGTGTCGAAAGTTCGAAAAATCAGCAACGTAGGTACCGCCAATGTCCGACAGCCATGCTTCATCCCTGGTTCTGCATGGAGTTCTGCGTGGAGTTCTGTATGCTGCCATGCTCTCAGGAGTTTTCAGAGTGGAAAGCAAGTCAGTAAATACCTACCATCCAGGCTTTGAGATTTTCGGACACACAGAGTACGGACTCCGGAGTACATACTGACCTATCATCTAGGTGGGTATGTATGTACCCCATACGGTGGCACTTTGGATACAATAATATATGCAAGCTGCTCACAGCATCTTAGCTTACCTAACCGAATTCGCGATCGAATGCATGTGGGGTGTAGGTGCCACGGCCCACCGCAGCCTCGGCACTCAGCGTGTACTTTACAGCCGGATCATAGCTGGTAGGTACATCAGCACGTGTAACTTCAAACTTGCAAGACGTGCTTGACACATTCTGCTAGCGTCAACGGACGGAGTGCTTCCAAGCGGCTATCAAATCCTGCAAAACAGGACCAACTCAAACTACATTCAGCAGGCCCGGCCGCCGGCTCATGCAAATCGAGTCATCGAGCTGTTGTCATTTATGATTTGAGCAATCGCCAACGCCAAACGAGCCAACACCGAACCCACCATCACAAGTTGAAGCAGCCTTCTTCTGCTTCGCCCGCTCCTTAACTTCTCTTTGTCTCCATTCCAACATAACTCTCTTATTCTTCGCTAGTTGATATCGACCGTCGCGCCCGTTGTTTCGCTTTGGGTCGTCCCTCTGGTTGTCTCGTGTCAACGTCGACATCGTCATCAACGACAATCGCGCAATATTGCGCCGTCTGTCGCATCGCCTGCAGCCAAAATGGCGTGGTCCAAGAGCACGCGGATCAAGGTCATGATCGCCATCGATACGGCCTTCTTCCTGCTTGAGCTCATTTGCGGCTTCCTCGCGCATTCCCTGGCTTTGACTGCTGATGCGTTTCACATGGTATGCCAAAATCCAAGGCCTCCCGCGCTTTTGTTTCTGGCCCGATCAGTGCAGCTCGTGGAGTAGACTTGGCTAATTTACATCACAGCTCAACGACATCATTTCGCTTGTAATCGGCTTATGGGCCGTTGTGGCAGCTCAGAAAGAGACGACGGACGAGTTTACATTTGGAGTGCGTATACAATGGATGGTACTCTTTCTGATAACGATTTGCTTTTTGGCTAACCGTCGGCTTTCTTCTCTACCTAGTGGGTTCGTGCTGAAATTCTTGGTGCTTTCTTCAACGCCGTCTTCTTGATCGCACTTTGCGTTTCCATCATTCTCGAGGCCCTGACCCGATTCGTCGAACCTCCAGAGATCAATCAGCCCAAGCTCATCCTAATTGTTGGGTGTGCAGGTTTGGCGTCTAATCTGCTTGGCTTCGTTGTTCTCGGCGGTCATGGACACTCTCATGGAGACGAAGAAGACGGGCATAGCCACAGTCACGCTCATCATGACCATGAACATGGACATGCGCACATCCACGGCCACGGCCATGAACATGCTATCCACGAAGGCCGAGAATCTGGCGACTTGCGTAGCAGTGTGGCCGATGAGGACGGCGCCGTCGGCGATGTTCTTCCGGAAGCCATTGTCAGACGCGCAAGCGAGAGGCTCGAGGCCACAACAGGCCGCAATGACGCCAGTAGTCGAAATCATGCTTCTGGCCAGTTGAGGGGACGCGCACCGCAGCGTACCAGTAAGAATGGGCACTCCCGTTTCCAAAGCATCGACGACATAAGCATTCACCCAGCTAGTTTCCGTCAGGATATCATCGCAGCTAGTCTGGCTGCATCCTCAGGTGCTGGCTTGGTCGCCGGAAGTGATACGAGTGAAGGCACTGCCACCGGCGATTCGGAGACCCGTGCCAACGAAGAGACTCCCCTCCTTATTCACGGCACCAAGGGCAACAATGGAACGAATGGCGACGACTTTCATGTGCCGCACACTTCTCACAAGCGTTCGCGCCGGGACTCGAGCATTCACGACGGCCACAACCATACCTTGCCACGAAAGGCTGGATCCAAGGCGAGCGGCCACAACCATGCTGACATGGGGATGAATGCCATGATGCTTCACGTTCTTGGCGACGCTCTAGGCAACGTCGGCGTCATCGTCACCGCACTTATCATATGGCTCACTGACTGGCCGGGCAAGCTGTACTGTGATCCAGCTGTGTCTCTTTTCATCACAGCCATCATCCTCAAGACGTCTATTCCCCTGACTCGAGCTACGGCAAGAGTTCTTCTCCAAGCGACTCCCGAGAACATAAGCGTTCAAGAAATTCGCCAAGACATTGAGGGTCTTCCAGGAGTAGTCAGCTGTCATCACATTCACGTTTGGCAATTGTCCGACACCAAGGTTGTCGCCAGCATGCATCTGCAAGTTGCCTTCCCAATCAACGAGCACAGTGGCGAAAAGTATATGCAGTTGGCCAAGAGAGCCCGAAAGTGTCTTCATGGATACGGCATTCATAGCGCTACCATTCAGCCTGAGTTTTGTCTTGACGAGCAACACCGACACGTTGGGGATGCTGCGGCTCTGCGGATCGATGGTGGTGGTCTGGACGGTGCTAGTGATAACGGCTGTCTTTTGGAGTGCATAGACGATTGTCAAGAGCAAGGTTGTTGCCCTGGTGCCGAAACACTCTCTCAGGCGGCCTCGTCGACTCGTCGAGGAAGCGATTCGACACAGGGTGGCGCTCGCCATTAGCATGTCTTTTGAAAAGGCGTCGATCGAGCAGGACGTAAAACTAACAAAAAGCGAACACTTCAGACACTTCAGGGTGTCCATGTATTTTTTCTCAACTTCATATACATTTATAAGCACATGACAGGAATATTGTGGCAAAGAAGAAAAGAGCCAAGCTCCCTATAGACTGAGGGGCATCAGGTTCTTTCTTCTTTCTCTCTTCTTTTTTTTACCTGGGAGCGAGGAAATCACAATTTTCTGCTTCAAAGCGGCCAAGATCGCCTTCATGAGCACTAATATTGGCATACTCACGTTCTCTCATCACCGGAGTCACTTTCCCTTTCTTAAATCATTCATGTATCTGTATGTGGGTGATTCTTTTACCGTCTTTCTTTTCTTCTATTTGTCTTCTGTTCTCATTAAGCGGCGTTTTGGTGGGTCGAACGCAAGTAAATATTAGGGTCTGGCATGCGTCATACGGGGCGGCGTTTGATGATGTTGAACCAAAGCAGCATGGACGCGAAGTCTGGTCTGCTTCTTCCAAGAAAGAGGGAGGGGGAAGAAGAGTGACTATAGGCTACCGGTATATTCGTAGATAGCAGTGAAGTCCAGAATTCAATGGAGACGGTGCAGGCCGTGGTAACACAGCATTGGCGTTTGACGTTCGATGGTTCTTTGTTATGTCGTGATGGTGACGTTGTGACCTGCCGAACGAGGAGGCCGATGTTGTTTGTACACTTCTTATCCAGTGTCATGCGATTATAGCATGATATAACTGCCGTTGAGTTCAACAAGCAACCGGTCTCCGTGGCTTAGTTGGTTAAAGCGTCGGTCTCATAGCAATATGATTCAACCTCAGGTTGGAGTCATCCGAAGGTCGTGAGTTCGATTCTCACCGGGGACATACCTTTTGGTGGTGCCGTCTTTTTTTGGGCGGCTTTTGAGCAGTGGGGCACTGGCCAGTGGCACCTGGGACGGCCAGAATTAAGTCACGACGACTCACTGCATCAGTGCATCTTTCTTCCCTCATGTGAGGCAAGCTATTCATCGAGAAGGACATGCTCCGTACGTCTACGGAGTAGCTATCTTTTATTGACGTGTACACCGTGGTCCGTGGATAGGTAGCATGCTGCATGATGCAGAATATCATTAAACGGAGTACGGCGTATGTGAAGGAAGGGTGGAAGCATCGACGCCAGCTTCTCACTAATGCAAGTCTTGCATCAAGCCAGCATTTTTAGAATTCAATGCAAGGCCTCGTGAGAACATCACATCGCATGCATTGAATGCTCCGGCATAGCATGTACTAGCTTTTGCTGCCCTGCGTGTATGGGCTGATATGTGTGTTCGACAGGAACAGGACTCCCTGTACGCCCAGACGTACCTATCAGGCAGGAGCTTAGCTCTTTTTGGGGGCAAAGTAGCTGATCAAGTTGGTGATGAGGAGTAAATGAACCGTCTTTTGGTGCTACTATTTCATTCTCGTGTCTTTCAGACTTGATTCGCTCAGTTACGATCCCTTGCCTCTCGTTATTACCGACATGCGGCATACAGGCCTGTGGGCTACGTACATGCATGTACGGAATTGAGATCGCACCTGACATTCATAAAAAGCCGTTTCAAATGTCATTTCAATTCCAGATAGCCCAAAAATCAATAAGAAAGCAGAAAGTAAAAAGACCAAAAAAAGCAGACAACCAAACCCCTCCAGGCATATGGGTGATGCGATGGTCTGAAATCATACAGCCCACAAACAATACCACCGTCCAGAACCAGTCCACAGTGGCCAAGAAGGATCTTTCCATAAACGCCCAATGTGTGTGTGTGTGTGCGAGCCTTTTAATTCTTCTCTTCCCAAATAAAAGGCCAGGCAATAGCAAAGAAGCACGTTTCTCCACGCAAAGTTGCATCACATCGTCTCAGAAGCCGTTCTCTTTCTGTCTTGTTCCCGAATCTTTTGTTGCCCCGTGAAATAGGGATAAAGGATGGCCCAGAATCCGTCTAGAAACCACGTCCACGGCCTCGCGAGAATCCGCCAGAGCCGCCGCGACCACCACCGCGACCACCGCCGAATCCTCCACGACCACCACCACCACCACCGAATCCTCCACGGCCACCACCTCTTGAGAAGCCGCCGCCACCACGGGGTCCGCCTCGGCCACCGCGACCACCGCCGAATCCTCCACGGCCACCACCTCGGGGAGCACCACGACCGCCACGGGCACCTCCGGCTCGCTTGGGCTTCTTCTCGCCAGGGACCTTGGGCTTGGGGATGAACTTCTCCAGTGGCAGGAGCTTGTCGCCGCCAATGTAAACTTTGTCGCCAGACTTGAAGCTCGTCGCGACGATGCCCTCCTGTGGCTTGATGGTGAAGTAGACTTCGTTGATGGGGCCTAGCACTTCGTCGACCTTGCCGATGGGCGTCTTGTTCTCGAGAAAGATGGGCGCGTTGAAGTAGGGGATCTTGACGTTGGAGGAGCGGCAGAACATTTCGCCTTCGACAGCGTGTTGGACGGTGCCCATTTCCTGGACTTCGGCGGGGGGGCCAGCAGGGGCGAAGCTACCACCTCGACCACCTAATGAGATTCAAGAGAAAAAAATGGTCAGCGTAACGATTCCGAATGTGCCTTTCTGATGTTTCTGCTCTTTTTTGAAACTCCGGCTTCGCGACAAGTGCGGGAAGCAGTAATGTGAAGAGCAAGAGGTTTCACCAACCTCTGAAGCCACCACCACCTCGACCTCCAAAGCCGCCGCCTCCACGGCCGCCTCTGAATGACATGATGCGTGTATGATTTTTGCTGGAAGTTCCAGTGGGTGTGAGGCTGGGTCGTTGTGGTGCGATCGGTATGGGCGAGTAACTGTCGTCTAGATTATTTTTTTTTGACCCGTGCAATGAAGAATTGAAGAAAGATGGAATTTGTGTTTTTCCGCATACAGCGGATGGGAACGCTAATTGGCTAGCTGCAAGACTCTTTTGGGCAATAAAGTGGATCAGTCAAAGTCGGCCAAGTCGGTGTTGATGACCTACCCTATCCCTTTTTAGCACTCGTCTGGAACAATATGGCACGGGTCGATGGCTGGAAATAAGGTTCGGGTTCCTTTCTAGGAAGGTTTGTTCCTCTTTGGTTAAAAAGTATCCACCTGGTCTGATGCGTGGCTTGTTGAGGGTGTAACTTAATAAATCTCGAAAAGATACCTACGCAACATTCGTGCTGCATTGACGATGCCTTGCGATCTTCCTTGGAGAACTACATACCTGCACCCAAGCGGTAGGACTATGTACAAGCTACCCAGAACTCGTGCATAGCCACGATGAATATAGAACAGTCTTTTCTCACGTAGAGTAATGATGGACACAACCGTTTCTTGCGAACCGTGCCGCTTTCCGATCAAGTCGCTGCTTCCCCCGAAGGCCTCACGAGATGACTTATACCCCGCAGATAACAGCGGGGCAAATCGGAGGCTTATTAGATGTTGGTGACAAGTCGCTGACAGGTGCTGCACTACGACTTGTTACATGCATCACCTCGAAGCTCAACAAATGCCACTCAGCCTCCATCACTCCACTCCAAATACATAAGTGTTGAACAGCGTTGTCCGACTCTTCTTTTGAATCTCTCATTCCTTGACACTCGCTGTCTTGCGGATACCGACTCTCAGCAGACACGTCCGATACTTTCCACGACACGAAATGGCCACCAGAAGGGCCGGAAAGGCAGGCTCCTGGTATGTCGCCTCACCAGACGAGCTGGACAACGAGCTAGAGGGATACCTATCTGAAGTACCGGAATTCATTCACGGTCACAAATTGCCTATAGACGGGGCCAGAATTGTGATTGCACCGTAAGTCTTCTGCGTATGCCATATGTACTTGGGTTCGACCAGGAGAATATTCCCCTTATCAACCAAGGAAAGCCTTCATGGATGAAAAAGCAAACTCCTCTACAAAACAAAACAAGTCGGAAAAACTCATTTCCTACAGTCACGCAGGATATTCATTCTCAGGTCCCTGCGCAGCCTGGGCATACAAGTGCCTGGATCTCAGCCGAGCAACGCGAGTGTTCGTCCTGGGCCCCTCCCACACATACTATCTTCAAGGATGTGCCGTGACTACATATGGCAAGCATGCCACTCCATATGGCAACTTACGAGTGGACCTAGAGACGTTGCAGAAAGTCAAGGACGCAGGACGGATGAAAGACATTCCCACGTCAAATGATCGGGCAGAGCACTCCTTGGAGATGCATCTCCCGTATCTGTACAAGCGCTGCGAAGAGACATTTGGTGCGCCGGACGAGTTTCCCACTATAGTTCCCATTCTCATCGGAGATCTCGACCGAGACGGAGAAAAGAGCGTGGGAAGACTCTTGGCGCCCTACTTGAGAGACGAGCAAAACGCCTTCATCATCAGCTCCGACTTTTGTCATTGGGGAGCGAACTTTCAGTACATGGTCTATTCGCCAGAGAACGACCCCACAAAGCTTATGAATCTGCGAGTATCAGATGCTCCGCCAGTGGGCCTCCCCATCCACGAAACGATTAAAGTACTGGATGAGGCAACCATGGATGCTGTCAAGAGTGGAAGTCACGATGCCTTTGTCGACAACCTAGAGCTGACAAGAAATACGGTCTGTGGTAGACATCCCATCGGTGTGGCCATGGCTGCGCTGGAGATAATTGCCCAGGAGACAAAGGATCCGACGAAAGGACGCTTCAAAATTACACAGTACCAGCGAAGCGATGATGTCCTTAAGCCTAGCGAATCCAGTGTTAGCTATGTGTCGGCTTATGCTGTTTTGTAGAGCAATATAACTCGGCCAGCTTCAACAAGAAGCAAATACCGAACCCTCCGTCACTTTCTTGCCACGCAACCTGCTATCACGCCGGAGCAGACAATGTTAGATAAGATGACAGGGACACGTATTCTGAATGCAAGCACCGAAGTTTCTTTTGAATTAATCTCGAACAAGGATGTCTGTATATGGCGATGTATGTGGCAATGTGACATGTGTTGCAACTTGCAACCCCAAAATTGTGAAGGGCCATCGGCCCAGACTATCTCTGAGACGAACATCTCGTGATGATCATGCCTGGGGAATGACTACGATCGATGCCAACAGATCTCCAAGTCGGAATAGCCTCGAGTCCCTCGACCAGAAGTTCATCAATGCAACGCCGAAACAATTGGACGCCACACCTTGCACATGAAACATGGGCCGGTTAGCGCAAGGGGCCTTGAATAATAAAGCAGCCAGACAGTTGGTTTTTCGCTTCGCCTGGACAACCTCCGACCAACGTGGTTAGCGGCTCACTTGCGGCCGACTTTGTTGGTGGTGCGCGCACGGGCGGTCGCCGGTGCACTCGGGCCTCTGCCCAGGTACTTGGCAGGCACTCGTCTGCACGCTGAACAGTCACCGTAGTTAGTGCTAAAAATAGGTAGTGAATAGGTACCTATCAAGCACTCCACACTCGGTGGCTGGGGAGGCCGTGAATGGCCAGGGGGTACAGGGATGCGCTGAGCCCCCTTTTGGCAACGAGCGGCCAGGCGCTGCAGTGAGCACTGAGTCTTCGATTGCCACCACGGCTACGGACTAAGCCGTACATTTCGTTCCTTTCATCTGAACAACTGCCACTTCATTCCGGCAATTCGTTCTTCTTCCGCATTGATTGTGCATTTTGCAAACTCACCAGTCAGCAACAACATCAACTCGCGCTTTCATATCTCATCTTCCCTCGTGTCTCGTGTGGCTCGTTGTGTTCTCAGACATCAAAGTCGCTTCTGCTTCACGCTCCTATATTGCTAAGAGCCTAGGCGCTCGCTCTCCGATTTCCACCATGAGCGTGAGTGTTTCACCCTTTGCCCCCCTTGATTGGCGTCTCGACGTTGAACAATCCCGCGGGAAA